AGTGGTACAAAGAAGAGGTATTCTTTCCAATTCTGTCTTGCTTCTCTCGAGCTGGTGATGTAGAAATCAGCACTTATTCCTCTCCTGCAAAATTCATGAATACTTCCACTGCTTTCAAAAATAAATTTGAAATATCCGATGGTGGCTTGGCTTCCCTTAGTCCTTTTAGGGCGATATTTCCATCACGATAATAGTGAGATATATGTTTGGTTACAAGTTTTTATCAGCTGGTGTTACTTCTGATGTACTGTTTCTGATTATATCACTATATTTACTTCGGTCTGTCTGGTGAAAATGTTTTCTTCTGAGCTTTTGGTCAACACTGAAAAATTTTCGTCTGCCATTTGCATCTTTCTGTCTGCTGTTTTCTGGGTTCTGCAAGGTTCTTTATGCATTCAGGATATTTCCTGGAACTACTCATTAGAGAGGTAGGATTTTCTACTTTGCTTAGAGGGCATTCAGTACTTCTGTAGTTTAAAATACATTTCACACATCTTGTAGCACAGATGCTGTGTGTGGTCAAATCTTTGTCACTTATAGCACTGGATTGGCCCTTTTTTTTCCTGTTTGAATTCCTTTACATTAATTCCTAGAACGTTGTTTACATTATGGATTTCCTATTTCATTTTTTTTTAATGTCAAGTAGATATATCGGCATTTTTTTCGTAGTATCTTCATTTTTTTTCAAAAAATGTTTTACCTGTGTAATGGGCAAGTGCCTGCGGCAGCAAGGTCATCATTGACAGCTTCTTCTGATGAGATGAACTATAATAATAAATCAAAGCACATGATAGTACAACTAAAGAATAAACACTTTTTCTCTCCCTCTTGAGTGATATATATGTCAACTGTGATAACACAGTGACATTTTTAAAAGAAATATATGTTATGATATCATGAACAGGATCACTTAACATTAGTCAGACATTTCCCTAGTTTTTTTTTACCATTGTCTAGGAACATAATATCCACCTCTGTAACGAATGTTTTCCTTATATAGTTATGATACAGTAATCTGAATTGGAAAGAGCTTCACAACTTGCTTATACAGTAGTAGTGTTACTTCCTAGTTCCTAGAGATATCTGGCTTAATATTCATAAGTCCCAAACTAAACATATTTATCAGTATATTAGTTCAGGGATATCAGTAGCCCCAGTCTGATATTTAGTATATGGTAATGTCATTAGCCAATTTAATATTTTTAGTATTTATTGTATGAATAAGAAATAACTATATATTTTAGAAATATAAGGTATTTTCACCCTCCTTTTATGCATGCCTTCATGGCATAACGGTATCACACTTGTCACATATTTGTGAGATCCAGGTTTGAGTCTCGGTGAGGGCATTGCTTGTTTTTCATGTCTTCTGCTTCAAAAATCCTAATGACTCTACAGTGGTGCCCGAACCAAGAAGGTGGTGGATGATAATTCACCACCACCAGGACTTTGGCAATTGGGGCCCCTAATCCCCAACTGCCCTTTAAAAGGTATTTTCTCCCTCCTTTTCTGCATGCCTTTGAGGTGTAGCGATAGCACAGTGTGTATTCGAGAGGTCCAGGTTCGAGTCACTGGTTAATGTTATGAAGCCCCATCTCTTCAAAATTCCACAAGATGATATGATATCATATTATATAAAAATATAAAATAAAGAAAAACATAAATATTTAATTAAATCTACTAGAAGAAAAAGCATTCTACTGTATTTTAAACATATTTTTAGTTTCTTGTGTTTTTGCACTTGAGACACTAACACTTTTTATTAGTTTTCCATTAATTGAAATTTTTTGTTTAAGTAAATTGTACAATATTGTTTGGGAAATTCCCAGTTTAAATGTAATCATTCTCTGGCTACAATTACCAAGAACAATAAAATCTTTAAAAAATTTACTCTTTCCTTAAGTTGTTTTGCATTTTCAAAATGTTTCATGCTAATCACACAACAAATTAAAAAAATGCTTCCTTTAGTTATTTATTCAAATTTCAAAGCTTACATTTGTGGTCAGCAGAATGACTGCTCTTTGTTCAGTAGATCTGCCATTTCATAATTACAAACATGACTAATGCTTTCCTTGCGTTTTCTACAGCCTACAATTACAAGCTTCTTTTCATTGAGGATTCTTAACGTATGGTAATGCTAAGAAGCATTTCATGAACTTTTTAAAAAAAAATTGTCAGTGAATCTAATGTCTGTATCCAACGGAAGGCTTAAAAAGTGGAAACCTTAAAAGATGGAATGTAGAAGTTGCATTTCCACTTCTTATTAGCTTATAAGATACTTTCTCCCTCCTTTCTGCATGCTTTCATGGTGTAATGGTTAGCACACTCGCCGCATGAGGTCTGGGTTTGAATCCCGGTGAGGGCATTGCTCATTTTTCATGTCTCCTGCTTCAAAATAATCTAATGTCTCTACAGTGGCGCCAGAACTAAAGAGTTGGTGGATGATGATTCTTCACCACCAGGATTTGGCGAATGGATCCCTTAACCCCAGTTGCCCTTTAAAAAGGGAAGTATAAAAGGTACTTTTAAAGGTACTTTAAAAAATACTTTAAAAAGGTACTTTATAAAAGGTACTTTAAAAAATACTTTAAAAAGGGAAGTATAAAAGGCCTTCATGATGTAACGGTTAGCACACTCGGCGCACCCGGATTCCAGTCCCGGTGAGAGCACTGCACATTTCTTCAGCTTTCTGACATAATAATAATAATAATAATAATAAATACTAATTACTCTACATGCTGATATTTGAGATGGAATCCTCATTCCTTTACAGTGCCTTTACTTTACAGTTTTTTTTATTAACTTTAAGACTAGGAAATTTTTCTTGTCTGAAATCGAATATAAATAAAAATCTTTGAATACAATATCTCACAGGTACAGGCGAATGAGAGGGTAAAAACAAAAAAAAAAAAAAAAAAAAAAAATTTTAGCCAAACCCATTCTATTGAAGCAAATTACGCACCTGAAGCTACAGTTCCCAATATGTTAAATAGATGAACTACGAAAAGCTTTGGTAAGTATAAGTAAGATGTTCTAGCATTGAAGAATCAATCTTTTGCCAATCAGAGCTTAAAAAACGGCAGCAATGAATTTAATAAATGGAAATTTTTCTATTGCTTAGTATGCATTTGTTCAGGTTTCGAAAATCTGAACATAATAAGGAGTAGGTGATGTAAATATAACAGTTAAAAAACATAAGTAAAAATTCTAATCTTAATATGAAATAGTTTCTTTACTCTTCATTTTAATTTGCTTCTTTTCTTTTTCTGTCCTAAAATTAGTAACTGCTTAAAATAATACTCTCTAAACTGGTCATTCCAAAATTAAGCACTATCATACAATTCTTACATAATGCTAATGATGTGGATATTTATAAATTCACCTTGCTACATGAATTACATGGTCCTATGTTATAAAGTAAAACATATTTATGATTGTTATAAATAATGCTTCACTCAATAATAATTTCAAATTTGGAACCCAAAACTTAAAATTAACCAATAGGGATACAGCTATATTAAAATTAAATCCTTCTGCAAAAAACTTTCCTCTAGGACACATTGTATTCTTCTTCTCTTACTGTCCTGTGACCATGTCAATGCTTACCTCTTTTCCAGCAGCTTAACAGTCATAACAAAGTAAAAAAGCACAATGTGGTCTAGAAAAGGCACATAGATTCCACATTTCATGCTGCATAATATCTGTTAAGAATGTGTTTCTCAAAAATTGTTTTATCCAGAAATAAATTAAGTTTAATTGTCCTCGACTGCTAACACCTTTTATGCATTCGCACTTTGTAAATCATGTTTTGTTACGTCAACATTTTAAAAATTATTACATATATGCATGGTAATTTTTTCTACAAAAAAGTAAAAATTAATTTTTAATGAAGTAATAATGTAACTTATATTGTCACAAGAAGAATTTTAAAAAACATATTTTTAAAAAATAGTTTTAATTTTTTTTTTCAGAATAGTACAGAAAGAGTACATTGATATTTTTTGCAATAAATAAAATTAATAAATTAATTTTTATTAGTCTAAAAATAATAATATACAGCTTGATAATCTTGCATTACTCAAGTGACTCAATTTGATATTCAGCCAATATTTAATGTATTTAACAAACACATTTATACGACCATAGAGTATAGTAATATAACTTATATTGAATGTTATACACTGGTAAAATATCAAATGGAAAGGTATTTATATTTTACAAGTAACAATATGCTTTTTTTTATTACTTTTAAATTTGTAAATGTTTTATTACAATTTTAAATAGAACATGAAACATGCTAAGTTTGAATTCAGATCTAAATGGACTTCATAATAAACAGCTCATAGACAAATGGGAATTAAATACCGCTGCAAAACTTGTATGTTAGCAGAAAATGTAAGCTGAAAGACTAAGAATTATTTGGCCCTTTATAAAACAATAAATAATGTAAATTTAGTGTTAGTAAAGCATTTTAGTTCTGTGGCTGGCACATTACAAAATTCACCTTGCTACATGAATTACATGGTCCTATGTTATAAAGTAAAACATATTTATGATTGTTATAAAATTTACTACAAATATTATTATTGATATTTTTATAATATTTTAAAAATTACTCTATGCAGCAGTTTTGCAAATTTAATGTTTAATAACGAATGTAATACAAAATATTCATTTCACAATAAACTGTCATTTAAAATTGCTATTATAATGGAATTTAAATGATCCATCTATTATTAATTGGTCTGTCTACAGAAATTAAAATGAATGAAATTGTTGTCTTAAGGCATTTTCCTTATGTTTGGCACAATGTTACCAGAAAAATTTTCAAACTAGAGTTATGGTATTTCTGTCCTCCTTCAAATTTATGTTTTAACCCCTTAACTGCCGTGGGCGTATATATACGCCTTGATCAGCCGATGCGTTAACTGCCCCAGGCGTATATATATGTCCTTCCAAACTGCTATCATTTGCTTTGCGCTGCTACACCTAAAATTATTCGCAAAGTTAACGCATCGGCTGCGCATCTGGGGCAGTTAACGCATCGGCTGAGCAAGGCGTATATATACGCCTGCGGCAGTTAAGGGGTTAATAGATAAAAAAAAAAAAATAATAATAATCTTTAGTGATCCAGTAAAATATCATGCACATTAACAAATGGATATCTGTCACACTATTTTTAATGAAGACAAGGGTATAATCACACAAATATAGAATATGGTATCCTTTTTACATTCATTTTGCACAAATTGAAGCAAGACAAATTTTTACAATTTAATGGATGTAAAAAATAAAATATTTAAAACATATTTTAGATAATTTTACAACAGGCTTAAAAAGATCTGTTAAATATATGTATATTTTTACTTTAAAATATTATTAACCCCAAAATCTTTTTTATACATCACTGGGTTGCTAGGAGTGGTTGAGGCTGTCTAACACCTTCCAACTTCTCAAAATGCTTCCTTGCATTTTTTATATTGAGCAAAGTAATTGCAGGAGCTAAAAGTAAAAGAAAAAGTAGAACAGCAATTTCAAAAACTTTCTGTGAGTACGAATTTTGAGCATCGTACATTTGACATTTTTTAATATTATAACATGGAACAGAATTGCATTTGCAGAATTTCATATACAGTTATAGAAAACATTAATACTAAATAAAATTATTTAATTCTCTGTTAATAAAGTAAAGTACAGCAAATTCTGATAGTCAATACATCTCAAGGCCAAGAATTTTGTTGATTAGTGAATTCTGCAGTTTGTACGTCATATTTTTCTAAGTATTATTTACATTCTCCACTTTTTAATTGTGATATTAAAACTGGACTGTTTGCACATAAATAAGTAATAAGCACACTCATATGTTTGGAAGTATCTAATCAGGATTAAATGAATACAAAAATATTATATTTAAGAGCATAAAAATTACTCTAAACTTTCATTGATGGATATGCAATTTTTTAACTTTTTTTTAATAAATTTCTTTAAAGCTCCATCTTCCCCCCCTCCAAGTTTTTTATTTCATTATTTATTATTTTAATTTTACTACATTTTTGCCTTCATACTGACAGTGTTTTCTTTGTATGTTATTGCTTTAATATAAGGAGGGGAGGCTTAAATAAATGTACTATTTATAAAAAACCAGCTATAAGGATTTCCCTACATTATATCCCTCAGCTAATTCTGTTGTTATACATCACAAAATGCAGAACTAAACTAACACTATAAAAAAGTGGTGAAGAACTGAAATTTCCCATTTATTAAAAAGAAAATGTCTTTGTTTTCATTCCTGTCCATGTGTAATGCTAGAAATGTATTTACAACTTGCTACTTTAAAAAATCTTTCCTTATTTTCTAGTGTGGACATTCATGTTTTTTTGCTCAGTGTGCAGTAAGCAAAGCAACTATTAAGTATAAGTTTGGACACATCTCAAAAAGTTGTATACAAAGTCTTGTCCATGCCACATAATTTCAAAATTAAATATATATTTAATTTACATATATTTAAATTAAAAATTCTTTGCTTACAAAAAAAAAAAGATGAAATGAGTACAGTAGAAACTACTGAACAGTTTAGAAAATTTTAAATAATTCACTTCTTCATTCAAAAAACATAAAAAAAAAAAAAAAAAAAAAAAAAAAAAAAAAAAAAAAAAAGAGCTAAAAATTAAAAATATTAAATCTTTCGGATTTTTCAAATTTATGAAAGCTTTCAGATTTTTCACAATGAGAGAAACATACATACATTCTTGCAGATTCTTCATTAATTTCTTTATAACCCAGGGCAATAATATCTAGTGGCAACAACTTAAAGAGTGATTCACCATTTATAGTGAAATCCCACAAAATGCTGTTTTGAGATTAATAGCCCTCCTGGGTTACTGCCCCTTTGGGGTAAGAAAAATACCACACCTTTTTTGTTAAAAGTTTAGGTACTCTTCTGTTATTGGGACTGGATTCAGAACTGTACATATGTATGACATGCACACAGGCACACACATGCATGAACACATATATCCATACATATATTCATACATACATTTCTGAATCCGGTCCCAGTAACAGAAGAGTACCAAAGTTTATATTCATATACATATATGAAAAACTGCCATTAAATTTGAAATATTGAATTTTCTGAATACTGAAATTCTAATTAGTGAAATATTCATTACGCTTTAATATGTTAAATTGTGTTACGAATTTTGTGACAATTTAAATAATTTTTGTGAAATTATATCTGAAATTATATTTTTTTTAATACAAAGGGGCTTTGTCCCTGAGGGATTATTGTTTTCGTTTTGGCGTCGAATCACCACCCTGAATGCGCATTTCACTTTTCAAACTGTTGCCACCAAATTATTATCGCCCTGTATTATATTTGAAGAAATTAACCCTTTCGTGCCTAACGGGACACATACGTCCCAAGAAAATTTCAAAAAATACTCTTGGGATAGAAATGCTTCTCTGTCTAATGGGAGACTTTCCCACCAGTCCTGCCAATATTTTTGAAGGTATTTTCATTCACAGAATATAGATGGCACTACCGTACATAATGCAATTCCTGCATTTTTGAAGTGTTGTAGCAGCTCATTCCATACTCTACGAACGTAAATAGTTTAGTTTTGGAAAACACCGCCTATTTTCGATTAAATTTTGATTTATCCCATAAATCTAAGGCCAGATAAGTTACTCACAAAGCGGATTACCTCTAATAAACTCTAATCATCCTGAATGCGCATTTCACTTTTCAAACTGTTGTCACCAAATATTATCACCCTGTATTATATTTGAAGAAATTAACCCTTTCGCGTCTAACGGGACACATACGTCCCAAGAAATTTTCAAAAAATACTCTTGGGATAGAAACGCTTCTCTGTCTAATGGGAGACTCCCACCAGTCCTGCCAATATTTTTGAAGGTATTTTCATTCACAGAACATAGATGGCACTACCGTACATAATGCAACTCCCGCATTTTTGAAGTGTTGTAATAGCTCATTCCATACTCTACGAACGTAAATAGTTTAGTTTTGGAAAATACCACATATTTTCGATTAAATTTTGATTTATCCATAAATTCTAAGGCCAGATAAGTTACTCACGAAAAGCGATTACCTCTAATAAACTGGTAAGTGGCAAAGTTTTACTTCTGTTTTTATTATCAGGACATATGTGTCCCTCTCGTCTTGGGATAGTGGGAACACATTGTCCTCAACAGTCCTATGTGATCATTTCATCTAGATATTATCTTTTTCGGTTACTTTTGAAATAGTTGCTTATTATTTTTAATTTAGGCACATATTAATTCAAGTCTAAAATGACTCGATGCATGCCAGGGACTTACTAATGAAGAAATCAAAAAAATTTTAGAAGAGTCAGATGACGAAGATGTTGATTTGGATGATGAAATAGATGATTCCGATTTTCAAGATCCAACACACAATTTGCAGTACTCATCCGATTCAGGACGAGTGTGAAATGGTTATCGATCATGATACCATTCCCCAAAATACAAAGAACAGCGAGTGCTTTGAGTGATACTGATAACGGCATCACTTTCATCAGTTGATGAGATACCATCAGCTAATGCTCCAGGCAAAACCAATCTTTATGGTTTCATGCAACTTTCCAAGTCGAATGACAATTCCAGCAGAGTTGCCTAGTTTGTTATTCAAATTAAATCGTTCAGCTACCGAATTGGACATGTTTCTCAAGATATTTCCGAAATGTCTTATGATTTGGATCTCTCAATGCACAAACCAACGACTCGAAAAGTTAGGACAAACAATTCACCCTACAGACCCCTCTGAAATTATGCTTGTCATGTCTTACAATAGGGCGCCAAAATTCTCTCATTATTGGTCATCTAATCCTTCTTTGGGAAACGTAGCAATAAAAAATGTTATTTCAAGAGACATATGTAAAACGTTGCTGTCGAAACTATATTTTGCTGCTGCACCAGAAAAAGCCAGAAAATGCAAGTAAAACATATTATATTGACGAGGTTGTTTCGTGCCTGAAACAAACCTTCAAACAGTGCCGAAGCGAAAGCTCATATCAAGCTATTGATGAATCAATGGCGAAATTCAAGGGACGTTCATCCCTCAAACAATATATGCCGATGAAACCTGTGAAAAGAGGGATAAAAATTTGGCAGCGATGTGATTCAAAAACAGGATATGTATATGACATGAACATTTATTCCGGAAAAGAAACGGGTGAAGTTCACAAGGCACACTCGGGGAACGGGGGTAGTATCAAAGCTAACGGAGACAATCCGAGGTAAAGACGTGATGCTTGCGTTTGACCGATTTTTTACAAGTGTGCACCTGATGGAAACCCTGAAATTTCCTGCTGTTGGTACATGCATCAAGACATCGCAAAGATGTTCCTAATTTTGCAACAAAACTAAGCAAAAGGGGTGAGGCTGAGTTTCTCGTAACTAAAAATGGAACATTGTGTGCGAGGTGGCTTGATTCAAAGGAAGTGATGATGCTAAGTAATTGCCACGAAGCTAAATACACAAAAGTAAATCGCACCATGAAAGATGGAAGCAAAGAAGAATTTGAGTGCCCTGTGGCAATCGAATTCTACAACAAAATCATGGGAGGTGTAGACCTTGCAGATCAAATGGCAAATGTCTATGAATTAGATCGAAAATCTTGCAAGTGGTGGAAAAAAGTATTTTTTCGCCTATTGATGAGCGCAGTGGTCAACTCATGGATTGCGTACTGCGAACTCAAACATCGAAAAACCCCACTTCTTGATTTCATTGTACCTCTTGCAGAAGCCTTGATGGCGTCCAGAAAGCTCAACGCACAGTATCAACGCCGTAGAGGAACTGGACGCCCATCCAAAACATCACGAAGCTTACTCAATGTTGGTGACCATCTGCCAGTAACAACAAAAACACGACGGCGGTGCCGTAAATGTGCACAACAAAAGAAGGAATCGCGCACTAAAATAATGTGCACGATGTGTAATGTCGCATTGTGCATTGATTGTTTCAAACCATACCATTCGTAATTAAATTTTTATGACTAGAAAATCATTGGTTTTCTTTACAAAATTACTCATTGAAGACTACTGGGACACATATGTCCCAGCGGTCAGGACTGATGGGACATATATGTCCCGGTCCTAAATCAGTGTTCAAAATTTTTCTAAAAATATAACATCTTAATTTTTAGCATTCTAGAGTGCCCTACTCATAGTTTATGTTATCAAAATTGTTCTGTTGTAAAAAAAAAAAAAAAAAAAAAAAAAAAAACTCGTCGCAAAAGGGTTAAATAAAGAAAATTTGCATAAATGTATTTAAGTTTCTCGCATTGTGATAAAACAATTTTGAATGACAAAAATGATTTTGAATGCAAATATCAGCATCTGGAAGCCCAAATTTGGAATTAGTTTCATTAGAGATTTCATATTTTGTAAAATTTTCGATGAACAAACTCAAGGATTTTAAAGCGAGCAATGGCAGAAAAAACATTTTTAACTCCAGTG